GCATAATTGTATATAGCTATCCATGAGGTTTGCTTCCGATTCCGTAGTCTATTTTATTCCTTAGTTGTGATTTATATTCAGACATTCAATATCTCTATATCTTATGAATTTTATGATGGGCTCTTTTCCTTTGTGCTATATGTACATACCCTTAAAAAAGTCAAACGTTATAATTTGAGTTCTTTTACTTTTATAGTATTTCGAAATATCTCGATTTTAATATTTTATAATAAAATCAAAAGAAAGAATTTAATCATGTATGTTTCTGCATCTGTTCTCATAATTCGTGATCTCTATATAAGCTTTACTTTCCCTAAATTACTTTCTCTCCTTTCTTGATATTTAATAAATCTTTTATTAACGTTGTGTGAAACTCTGCATACAAAGAGAAAGAATTTAATTAAAAGAAAGAAATTAATGCAACTTAACGAAATTTTATATAACATTATTTTATGTAGGACATCAAAAATAAAATATTGTAATAAAAGTTCTAAAAAAAAATTACATTGACATTTCGTTTAGAAAAAACCCTTTATATATATTTTTTCTCTTTGTTCAAAATTAATATACAAGTCTTAATTAATCATATTATCACGATTGCAACAGTCATGATTAGGTTAATGCGCAACATATTGCATGTCACTCCTTGCTTAGGAAAAATACGCTGCCGATCGCCATTCGATATGTCCGTGCTTGGAATGTCGCGCGGACGTAGTTAGGAAACGACTTTCAGTTTTTATTTGCATCACAGGCATACTGGGTGGCATTTTTGTATCGGCCACGAAACTTATTACGCATATTAATGATGATCGCCTTCAGGAGACATTTATCGGCGCATGCAGCGCGTGCATGGCACGTATTCGGCCACATGTAGACCAATCGAAACATTAACACGTCGCAATGCGTTTGCACGCGAACGCGAAATGAAATTGCATTGCTCCTGAGAACTTTCATGCGGATGTGAAACGTCGCATAATAAAAAAGATATATCAATGACTAAATTAATTCAAATTAAATATTCAAATTTAATAGATTCATAATTAAATTATTTCTAGAATCAGAATGCTCTCTAACTGTTTAAAATGTGATAATATTCTATGAGGAAAATCGAAAAAAAAATACTGTTTGCAGCAAAGAATACTAAGGTTCGAGGGCTGACTTTTAATAATTTGTGCGAAACTGCGAACTGAGCGAACATCCCGATGCTTCTTCTAATAAGAATAATTCTTAGCTCTTCAAGTAGTTTCTTTACTTCACGTTTGCGCGGATGTACGTGCGTTATAATTGAGAAAATTCGAAAGGAGGGAAGAATGGTTTCCAAGAAAACGTTCTTGCTATCGGTAGGATCATGAGCGATGTTAATAAGCTGCACGCGGCATGGCGAGTACACAGAGTTACCCGCTCGGAATTGCGTGTTACCATTTCGTCCCTCGTCCGGCGTACATGTATTTAAATAATTAAGCACAAATTTTGCATTCTATGTAATATAAACGATAATGAGATTCAGGTACGAATCGTAGCTTCTTATACGTACATCGTTGGACGTACAGAGTACATGATTTCCAAACAAACTTTTAATAATAATCATTATGACAAGTCAACTAATTGCACATTTTAAAAGTTTGGAATACATCTATATTTTTATTTAAAAAATTGAAATGTGTATTCTTTTATAAAAATATATATAAAAAATTTTTTCTTTACGATTATTTTTTCTTATATTAAAATTGAGATATTAATTATTATATGTAAATTCAAAAGAAAAAAGCGTGGAATTTTATGCATCGTCGAAACATTCTGTATACGCGTCATATCACCCATCTTGCTCCTGTAAATAGTGAGGTCAGTTCTTTCGATTAAGTGGTATTATAAGACACACACAAGAGAAAAGAGGGAACGATTGCGTTTGCATGCGAGCGAGCATTCTGAGAAATTCTCGCTTCGCGCTCGCGCATATATACACATTTACAATAGGTATGTATGTCGTGAACGCGTATGCATATATTGTATATCGCTCGGCGAAATCAGTTGGCAGCTTCCTATGAAAGACAAGTAAGCACGCGCGTAGGCAGGTAGATAGGTAGGTATAACACGCAGTGTATTCACCTGGCCGCATCGCGCATTATCTGACACTTACGTCGTAGATAATCATACTGGGAAATTATACAAATCTATTACTCCTTTTTTTATATTAATGCTCGCCTATTTCTTCTTTCACGCGATTTAATTATTTCATCAACGTTACCATGACTTAATTCTTTTCTAAAATTTAAAATTGCACTTTATAATAAAAAGAGAAAATATACCAAAAGAATCGTAATTTATAAGTACGATAAATAGATTTAGTTTAAAATATATATAAATAAATGATTAGAATATTCAGTTTCAAAATTAAATAATATCTAACAGGACAATTATTTTGCCGATATATATTGTGTAAAACAAAAAGTAATTACCGCAATATATTGAAAGATACATATTATCTCGCATTAAGCTTCAAAAGCTTATCTAGAATCGCGCGAATTATAAATCTTAAACGATCTATATATAATTCGCAATAAAATTCAAGACATAATTTTATTTATAATTTCATGTGCCACAAATACTAATGCAAATATATATTCTAACATATATAGGTATATATATTTTATAGTTTAAACATACGTGTTTATTTTACTTGTTTAAATTTTTTCTGCATTACATGACATATAAAATTATAGATGGAATTCTGTCTCGAATTTTATCACAAATTATAGATCGTCTAAAACGGGCTGAAATTTTAGAAACACGTTTCCAGTTGTCGCACACGTTTCCAAGCGACGCGATGCAGCGAGTTCTTTACGGAATCAGAGAGAGTGTAGGCAGACAGCTCCTGACAGAATAGGGTAATTTGGGGTTGGTACGTTCACCGAATGTGGAACGAAGGCGGGCATCGCGTCTTCCTTGAACGTCGAGTTAAATCGCGTCTCTTTGCCTTTGCGAATTCCATACGCCCAATTTCATCATCGGCAAAGAACCAGCACAATACCACGCGACTGCGTTTTTACATCAAAGTAGTAGTAAAGCATTCGCTATTCACGTACTATATTCTCGTATATATTGTATGACAATCTTTGAATTACGTGTATATCGTTATAAAAAAAATGCGATTTCAAAAATTTTATCTATAGACATTAAAATAATTTTTAACAAATATTTTTAGAGATTATATTCAAAAAGAAATTAAACATGCGTGATTTCAGAAAATATGTAGATATATTGAAATATTTTTTTAAACAAATATATGTTTTTAGAGATTAAAATTTCTTCCGCTTGTAGATAACATTACGCGTTTGTGTGTATGCAGTCGCATCATACGAACGTGTATCAGGCTACGCGTTTAATGGCAATTGCAGCGAGGAATATATGGCCGCGGCCCACACAGGGCGCGAGAGAAGAGCGGACACACTTGCCGCAATTTTATCGTCGGGAAAGAAGACCGTACATAAACGATCAGCCGCTGCCGCGCATCGGCCTCGTACGCACCTGGCTGGAAACGTGTGCACGACGGTCACCGTATTCCTTCCTAAAGAAACCGTCAAACGGAAGAGGGTGACTAATGCCCGGCCGTGAAGCGAGCGGAGATCGGATTCATTTGCAATTTCCAATTGAATTTCAGCGGCGAAGTAAGCAGCTCTCCCGGAAATGTTGATCGATGCGTCGGTATGTTTTATGTATCCTCAATTTTATGTTGCCGCGATGGTGATCACTCATAAAAAGCGATGCAAATCAAAAAAACATACAGCATTTCTTTTTCTACTTTATGAATATTATTGTTTTTTAATAATTATATCTAATTGATGCGATTACGGTTTTAATTTCTAATAATATTATATATCGATATAATATTATTTATGTATTATTTATTGTTGTTGTAAATTAAAATTGTAATTACACATAAACAAGATTCAATTAATAAAGAAAAATAATGATATTTATGAAATAGAAGAAAATACTATATATTCTAAAATCTGAATTGCTTTCTATGAATGATTATCATTACAAAAATAGAGATATATAAAACATATATACATGCACAATATATATCTCCGTTAAAGAGAAAGAGAGATAAAATTTCTTCTAATATTTTGATACAGCCGCTCTTTCATTTAATCCATCATAGATATGAAAAGAATATACATTCTACTCACTGTTTTATCGTAATATGATCGAGAATAGGGGGGAATGATTTTTTTATAATTTCTTTAATAATTAACTAAAAAAAATTTACTTAGAAGATATAAAATAGCTCGTAATTAAAAAATTCAGTCATTATAGTCGCGCTATAAATGATGTCTTTTGAATTTAAGAAACAAACATTATTATTTAAAAAAGCAAATACGTATAATTTAATGATGCAAACGATAAAAAAAAAATTTCATCAATTATTGCAAGAAAAACAAGCAAATTTTTAAACTATATCTACTATTTATATCTGAACATGCGTAAATATTTGATCTAAAGATCTAAATAGAGCTCTTCTGAGCCCTGAAATGTGCCAACTATTAAAATTATATATAAAATTATTTTTTCTATATTAAAAGATTTTTAAAAATAACAATATGTGTTTTTTTGTATAAAATGTAGGGCGGATATTATATTTTAAAATTCTGTGAATACGCTTGAGTGAAAGTTTCAAACTATAGTAAGCTATTCTGAGCTCTGACTTTAACCAACTATTTCTTTTTGTTGTGAAAAATTCTAGACAAGTGCCACAGTATTTGCATTTTATGGCACAAAAATAAAACAAATATTTATCTTACTATTGTGTTTTATCATTGCGTGCTTCAGATTTTATATTGATAATAGAAATTTCATAAAAACGTGATTAAGCATTCGATACTTTTCTAATATTCCTTATACATACATTTCTTATATATGTATATTTTATGTCTAAAATAATATTCTCAACTTTTCATATTATTTCAAAATTGTATAAAATAAAAAAATTTAGTACTTACTGATACGATGTCTAATAAATGGTAGTATAATGTACGTAGATCTGTAAAAGATAAATATATGTATAAATTAAAACAATGTCCAAAATTATCAATATTTCGAAATAGTTATATTGAGCATCATTAAATTTATTTTAATAACCAAATATTTCATAAAAATATTACATAATTTACTAATTAAAAATATTTTTCGGCAAACACATATTTTTATAAAATATAATAAAATAATAAGGGTCCAATTTATATATATATAAAATCTAATGTATGCAATTATAAATCTCTTAAAAACAATGTTTAAATTGTATTTATTATGTATATATGTGCATGTCTAAATATAAAACATACTATCTTAAACTGAATCAGTGAAAATATCACCGATTAAAACAGTGACACAAGATACCTTGACTTTTCTCATTTAAGAGGATATTGTATCTCAAATATTATAACATTATTTGTGAATTATTTATATACATACAAATATATGTTTAAAATTTCCAAATAATATTTTTTTAAAAGATACAGTTAAAGAAGATCTTTTAAATATACTTTCAATAAATAAAAATCTCATCAGTGAATTAATTTAATACATTAATTAGAACGTCACTCTCTTTATAATTGAGAATTAAAAAAAAGTATAAATAATGTGCATTTACTTTTTATGCAAATTATATTGATCGCTTTAATTACAATATATCAATAATATATTAAGCGCACCTTTAATAATCTGACTTTCAAGAAAATGCTTAAAATTATACCAATGTTATAATCGCGCATGTCGATAACTAAAATGTATGAAATAAATTTGTTGTAACTAAATTGAGACATAAATCACTCGTACGCGATAAGAAAGTCGATGAGAGATAAACATACAAATAAACATATTATTTCACATTTTCAGTGTGATGTGCGACGTCTAAATGGTTGAAAGTTGTGAAGAAAGTATCAGATTTTGTTTTAGTTTTTATATGCGTATCGAGTTCGGGGAATCGTGGAAGCCGAGCGCTGCTCGCTCGAGCGTGCCTTTTTAGGAATTAGAGATAAGATAACGCGAGAAGGATGCGAGAAGGATGCGAGAAGAAAGTTCAGAACGCCAGATATTTGCGATTGCCAGATATACTGCGAGAATCGACGAGTCTTAAAATTTCCGAAATATCACCTTGAGAAGTCGGTTCTCAAAAATAAAACAATTAATATAATGATGCTTTTAGGCAGTTAGTTAGTTATTATGAATAACGTTCTTGTTTAAGAACATAAAGAAAGAGAGAACATCAAATTTATTACAGCACGAAAAAATCTCACCTCGAATTTCCCACAGTATAAAAGAAATAGAAAAAATTTTTATTATATATGTATATATATGTATATATGTACATTTATTAATTATTATACATATTTAATATTTTAAGTATTTTTGAAAATAAAATAGTACGTTTTATATGCGTTTATATTTTATATTATTTATAACGACGTAAAGAAATGGAAATCAGTAAACAGTTAATTTCACAAGTAATTTATAAGTTAAATAAATTACACATGTTTTTTACCTCATGATTGCTGTGTCGTTGCCCGACATTTTCTCAGCCTTTTCCTCCTCTTTTATACATATATCTTTTGCTGCTCTTGTATGGCATTGGCACTCGCAAAATATTCCCGGAAATACGATTAATTACGATCGCGCGACAATTTGCACGACACTCCCGATGATAATTATATGTATGCGCGACACGCACTTTAATATATCGCGGAAGAAAGACGCGGAAACTATGATCGTACGATGATTCTATAACTCCCGTCCTCGTCCGCTTCGATTCCTCCTTGAAATGAGATAAAGCGCACGAAATAACTCAATCTAACCCTAACTTCACCTACCGCGATAAACGGTCGTCGCCTACGTTTACAAGTCGTTAAACACGAAAAATAATTAATCACGCGGGCTAATATAATCCCTACTTATAATAATTATACAAAATACTCACGTTTTCCGGTATCTCTGATCGCGTTTCGAAGCGTAATACGACACGTAAAACATGACTTACGTCGGTGAATCTCCGCGCGCGAATGACAACAAAACGAGGCGACCGCTGGTAAACAACAGTGAGCTATGCGGCAAAAAAACGAACGCCAAATATCGCGCGATAGTTACCACGCTTCATTAATATTTAACGCACACGCTACAAAATAATATATGCTGAATATTCTATTCCCCCTGATTTTCAAATTAATTATATTGTAATATAATAAACGGTTAATGTATCGCGATCTCTCTCGCTCTCTCTTCCGTTACTGAATTCACTATTCTGCGATTCATGTATTACTACGCCTGTTCAAACTGAGTGATCGACTAATTATTACATTTTTAAATTGACGAATAGCTCAAAGTGCGATACAAAAATATATTAATATACGTTTAATATATTATATCTTTTTATTATTTAAATTATTCGACGATTATATACATATTTCTACACGTTTTCAATCTGAAAAGGACGAGCAAATTATTTTATTAAGCGCCACGCACTTATATATTCTGTTTATTAGTGTGTACGCAATCATAATTAACAGTGTTTTCGCGAATGAGTGTCGTAAATTGTTTTATTACGATTTTTACAGGCGATTACTTACATTCGAATATATCACATATCGCGCTTTAAGCTTTTCCAGGCAAATGTTATTAGCCAATCACTTTTGAGAACGCATAGTAATACATAAGATTGAGGTAAAGAAAGAGAGAGAGAGAGAGAGAGAGAAAGAGAGAGAGGTAAGAAAAAATATCACGATATATTAACCGTTAATAATTAATATATAAAATTCAAGAAAGAACAGCTTTCAGCATACATTATTTTATATAGAGCGTTAAATATTTCGTGACGACAACAAAATAATAGTAAAGTGCTGTGTTCGTTTTTTTGACGCGCTTTGTTTACGCGCCTTGTTTTGTTGGTAACATCGTCTTCTCGTCACTTGCGCGGCGAGACTCGACGAAGTGAGTCGCGTTCTACGCGTCTCGTATTACACATCGAAACTCGCGATCGTAGGAAGATGCCGGGATCCGGGATACGTAAAACGCGATTATTGTGTATAATCGTTACAAATAGCGATTATTAGAGCCCGCGGGACTAATTATTTCTCGCGATTAACGATCAGTGAACGTAACGAGACGACGACCGTTTATCGCGGTAAGTGAAGTTAGGGTTAGGTTGAGTTATTTCGCGCGCTTTATCTTATTTCAAACAGGAATCGAAGCGAACGGGGACGGTAGTTATAGAATCATCGTACGATCATAGTTCTTGCTTGCTTGTTCTCTCGCAATATAATAAAGTGCGTGTCGCGTACAATTAATATTGGGAGTGCCGTGCAAAGTGTCGCGCGATCGTCGTATTCTCTCAATTAGTACACGAGACGATTATAATTAATCGTGTTTCCGGGAGTGTTGTGAGAGTACCAATACTAATAAAAAGCAGGGATGATGAATAGAAGAGGAGGAAGAAGGCCGAGACATCGGGCGACAGCGGGGCAACTCTCTCTGAGGTTAGAAATTTATATTTAATTTATTAAATATGATATATATCTGTAATAGGCGCTATATAGAGATATAAATTTAAATAATAAAATGAGATTTAAATTATTACTTGTAAAATTAATTGTTATTTTATCTTGACGCGATAGTGATCTCTAGTTTACATGATTGTACAATATATGTATAATGCATATAATATATTATATTTTATTTTTATAAATATTTAAAATATTTAATTTGTACCAATTTTAA